TACATTTTCTAGGCAATCCTCACAGATGGCGGTGAGGTTGTCAGTCTTGTGCACTGGCTGCCCTTTACCCGCAAGAACTTTTCTGGTACTCATTTTTTTAGAGGCTGAGTTGACCCCAGGGTCGTACTGCTCCTGGAAAGACAAGGTCAATTGAAAAATCCAGGGAACTGATATTACATTTCTGTGCTTTTTAAAATGGAATCTACCCAAGTACAACTTCCTGCTCCTATTTCTTGCAGGTCATTTCGATGGGAATATCTCCCACCATCTCGATACTACAGACCTACTAAGGCAAAGACATCGCCATTACGTGGCAGCACTGGAATGGTTGGTATGCCTATTTCAGTGCTACAGAGTACCCTGGGTACCCAGTCTTTCAATAGACGATCTGGAATTGTAACAGGTAATACTGCATTTTGATACTTGATTTCATTTTGTAGTGGAAGGTTTTCTTGAAATTTTATAGTACTGGAAACTTTACCTTTAATGCATGTCATTACTTTCATGAATAGTTTGTGTAACCTCTGTGTACCTTTAACCTAACTTTTACGAGTTGTTTGCAGGAAGTTAATAAACTTAGTGCATAGTGAGGAGGCTGTGTCTCCATTCTGTATCACATCTTATTCTAGGATCTACTCAATGGATTTTGATGAATCTAGCATAAAGTGGCTTCACCAAAATTTTCTGACGAATTTAATTTCAGTTTTTTGTCATTCCAATGTAGCTCATAATTCACGTGAAGCTCAGATCAAGCTGGGCAGTTTCTGAGTATTAGAATTGATAACTTTGATTGTAGACAATTCAGATCTGCTGGTAACATTATGGTGATTAAAATTGTCTTCTCATTTTATCAAAGACATGTTGATTTCATTTACATTTTTAATTTTTTACTTTTTGTTTTCCAGAGAGGAAAATAAAATTATCTCCTGCGCTGATGGCCTCAAGTGATCAAACTCCTGCCAAGTGTGATACATCATTTAGTCCTTCCAGACGACTTGTTGCCATTGTCAGTCCACAAAGAAGACCACAGAGTGAGAAGAAGGTACTTGTGCATGTTTGTTAAACCAATGATGGCCATTTTGTCATGGGCCCAGAATAATTCTTTCAAGTGATGTATTCAGCTGAAGCGCATTTTTACACATTTATCAAATAATTAATTGAGCACCACACTGTGGAGATATATGAAGGAGTGGGATTATAGCTCCATCAGTATTGATCTTGGCACTACAAGTGAGTGGTCAGTGTCACGCTCATGCCGCCATGTGCATGAGGGTACAGCCTTTGGGTGCCTGTTGGGTAGGAGGCTGGGTGGGCCCCAGAGAAGATCTGGAAGGTTTGGAGGTGAGAACTATCTTGCCCCTGCTGGGAATCGAACACTGGCTATCCAGCCCATAGCCCCTTGATATACCAAGAGCTGTGTTAACAAAATTGGAAATAGCTATGAGATCTGGTACAGCCCAGTTTCCTCACCTTACCAGTGTATGCTGCCACGTTGCCAGTTTTCACTGTACACTTATATTTATCATATCCTGTGTTTGTTCTGAGCATGCATTTGTAATATTATCTAGCATAAAGTCTGCTGAAATTTCAAGAGGAAATTGTTCCTTGTGTTAGTGTCATTATTGAATTTTGGGGCAAAACACATATGTATCTTTGGCTGCTGCTTATTGCTTTCCTCTTCTGCTGTTGTAATTATTACCAGCTCTGACTAATAACATATATAATGGCAGAATCAGAAGCATTGGACATACATATGTGGATGCTTTATTTGTGTGCCATTTTTGTCTTGTATTCATATTGCATTGAAACTGCAGTTAATATTTCTTTGTGGAACACTGAATTTGAACACTATGAAGTGTGCTCTGTGTTACAAAGAATTATATAAACAGGGGAAAATACATGCAAACAAAAATATGAATACTATGCAGAAACAGCTTTTGGTGTGTCACAGGGTATTGAACTGTATTTTAGTATGCTGACATGTGGTACAGATTAATGAATACATGTGTGACTGAACAGTTTTTCTAAAATTGCTAATGTGTTAGGTGTCTATAAGCTCCATTTGTAGTGAGTGTTTCTGTTCTATTTTAGGCCAGTAGGGCATCAGCAGGTGGTAGCAGGGCACCAAACCAGGAGGATGAAGGCAGTAGTGCTGTACCAATGTCTGGCACTAAAGTGATTGCTCAGTCACGGAGACAGAAGAGTCCAGTGGTGAGATAGCGTTCATACTGCTTATGGTTAATACGGTGCGGACATTGCCCCAGGTTACTCAGCACCTCGCTTCTCAAATGCATCTTCAAGAGCAGTACGAGACAAAAGGGATCATCTTCACCCCTTCTGGTGTTGGAATATCTTTTTACTTACACCTGAGTAACTGGATTACTTAAGTGTCCATTCATTTATTTGCAATATGGCTGGTAGATTTACAAGAAGTTTTCCTAACTCTAGCCATAACACAAAACTGAAGTTGTGAAATTTTAGGTTTTCACGTTTTCTGGTGATGTGGCACTGTATGTTAGGAGATGGATATCAGTGTTGTTCCTCCAAAAGATTGGTGCCTGTCCACCAAAGCAAATAAGTTCAAGGGAAAGAGAATATTAGGAAGACCACTGGTGAGATGGTATGAAATCATAATGGCCTGGATGGCCAAAACTTGAAATGATGGTGGTTATATCCACCTGTCAGTTCTCAGTAAAATGAGTGTGAAGATAATTTTGAAATTACAGAAATTCTTTCATTCATTAACAAGTTCTCTGTATAAATTATTATAATTACAGAAATTAGTTTGAAGGATAGAAGTTGAGTTATGATTCTTACTTCTGTTAAATCAACTTTTTGTCTTCTATTTAAATGACAGTAACAGTTTAGCTACCTTACAGGTGATGTTTCTGTCAGAAATTCTGAGGACACAATTCTTGAAATAAATGTGCAGCCCATCGCTGTGTCCACAGATCACACTCTGTATTAACACCCCAGCTGCCGCCACCCTGATAACATCTTAATGTGCTTAGTATTGTGGTAATGTGTCAGGTTTTCGTTGGTGTTGCTAGATAATTATGTTTTATGGATTGTCCTCTTGTAGACATCATGGTTGTGTAGCTCGCAAATAGTAACAGTAGTATCAAAATAAAACTTAGGCCATGCCACCCTTTCAAGGGAGGGGTATGGTATTGTTAGTACAGTTAGTATTGACTTGCAAGCGTTAGTATGGTCTGGAGGGAGTAACTGATGGTGGTGATTCTGTAGTTCTTATTTAGAATGTTTCATTCAGTAGACAAAGCTCGACACTTTTGTGTTGATTCCACGTCACTGAAAATTCATGCTATACCTCCCCCAATCATTATCATGTTATTGGCTAGTGTAAATGGTTCGGCTGGCTGAATTTTGCATTTTTAATGCAGTATTGTTATTCGGCTGCTGGCCCCCTAGTACCAAGGGATTTGATTTTTACACTTGTTATACTGTTACCCCAAAGTTCAAATCTATCCTTTGGACTGGAAGTCACCTAGTGCCGTAGTATAAACTATTATTCTTGAGTTAAACATTTAGTTGAGAGCCCGTAGTAGCAAGAAGGCCTGGGTTCCCAGTTCATAACAGTTAAGTTATGGTGGCATATTAACCCGTTGCCGTGGTTCGTCGTGTATGTTTCGTCAGGGATTTAAATCGTCTGGGGGGGTTCGACGTGTATGTTTCGTCCAGCTGCACACGTATGTTATAACGCCCATAATAATTGATGGTTTTGCTGTAGATTGTTAGATTTTTCACTGGCCTGTTGTCAGGAGGACTGTATTTAATGACACACGCGTTTAAGAGCGCTAAGTCGTCGTTACATATGCCTGTCTTGCAGCAACGTTCCTGTGGCTATTGCGAGCTGTTTCTGTTATGAATGATGTGTTTT